ATGGCCGTATCATCAGTTGATGCCCCTTCTTCGACAAATTGGAGTTACTCAGAAGACAGCGTGCCCGAGCTTGCCGATTCCCCACGGCAAGCCTAAGTCCATGACTTTGACCGGTTATCGATGTGCCGGGCGGCAATTTAGGTGGTGCTCACAGGGTGCGGTATCTTCCATCCCGCATGCGGCAGCCCCAAAGCTTTGCCAAGCTTCCCTGCGGTCAGCGATATTTTCAGACCCCAGGCAGTTCTATTTACGACCCACTTAATTGAGCCACTGATATCATTGAGTGAGACAAGAAGTGGCGTCTCATCTTCATCTTGAGGTTGCCCTATATGTCTGAGTCGCTATTCATGGCAAAAAACATGAACTTCCACACTCCGGCATGGAAGCACTTCTAACCAGACCCGTCGAAACTATTGAAACTATTGAACTAACGAGATTTTTGGACCGCGGTCGTTGGAGGCGTTACCCGTGATGTCACTCGAAGCAACCCAGGCTAAGCTTATGGGAGTCTAGAAACATGCCGAATTTCTCGATTTTGTTGAGTGTCCTTGACAGCTGGCAGCCTCCTGCTTGAAGACAGTCCGCTTTGGCATCAAGCAGGAGGCTGCCTGACACATACATGACAGCGTACATGGTCACGACAACATTGAGCTATACTGCATGCAAGCCTCTCAAAAAGACTCCTACGCTGATAATTCGCATCAATGTGTCCATGGGTGATCATACGATCAATGTCACGAATACTACCGCTCTCTTACATGGAGAAAATATCTGACCTGTCGTTAATTTGCCCAAAGATTGCGGACGGTTTCCAAGACACTCTCCCCCTTATGTCTGGATCGGCAGGTGTCTGATATGTCGGCGGATGGCAAAGCGAGGATGATGCTTTGCAATCGAATCTGCCTGCATCAATTTCTCTTGATCTAACCCGCAGAATGGTCTGGTAAAGAGCTACCTACACTACTGGACACGTTCTTCTCATCTGACGGAGAAGGAATGCTGGGCCAGAGTCTGTTGTCCATATGCTGCAACCTCAAAACATGTCCACGGTTGGCAAACTTCACTCTGATCTAGGAATCAAACGTTTCTAGTGAATTTGGCCAACTTAATAAGCTCATATAACCAATCAGTGATATGGTCTTGAGAGCAATTGATGGGATTCAGATCTGAGCGATCAAACAATATGACATCATATTTGCCGGTTATACCGTGGAATATATCTGAGGTAGGTACTTCCCGTGGGTTCCTGCCGTCTTCTAAAGGAGCTCAAGGACCACAAGAACAAGAAGCACAAACAATCATGTCCCTTCCGAGTTCTTGTCTTTGGCAAGTCTCACCATCGCTAGGAAGACAACAACATTGTTCTGTATCCGAACAATGGCACGACCCGTCCTGCCGTGGTCTGCATCAATGACATTGCGATTGTGAACTTTGACGCATATCTTTCGGGCAAGTAATGAGCTATTCCGCGCTCAACTCATGTGGTGAAGTGAAGTGAGCAATGAGGCAAGAATGACATTTCCCTGCTTCCATGGGAAGGAAATCCAATAAAGCCTATTTGACTGAAAGTCAATTAATTGCCCGCTCCTTCCAATGAAGGGACGACCCTTTTCCTAATCGCGTCAAGGCATTACATATCACGGCGTCGTGTTCCTATGGGTCGAGATGACATCAATTCATACTGGAAAGAGGCATAGAATGATTTGGTCCTTTCCCTTGTGATCAGAGTACCAAATCGTCAGACTGCGTGCCTTGTCATGGAAGATACATGGCACCAGACGACTGCATTATTGGCTTCGCCCAGGATCATCAAGTCGTTCTTTCCAATTCGCAACAAAATAAGAATTTCCGATTCAAGGAAGGTATGCTAGCCGATCCCGGGATTGAGCTGCTGAGAACATTGATTTGCTCTAGGGAACTCTTGTGCCTTCTGAACTTTGAAGGGATACCTTTGATCGAGAACTCCCATGTTCCATGCGAGCTTGAAGCGAAGGATCAACAAGATGGACTTCAAACTCTGAAGGGCTTTCTCTGGCAGGATACCATACTCACTATCTTGTGCGTGTTGCTGATTATATCGCGTAGTGGTCTGCGTTTTTCGTGCTATCTTTCATCCGAATTGATGTGCCCATGAGATGATCTACAAATCGTCTTATAAGCTGCTATTGATTTACATTGGAGCGAACGAAGTGCCGGACAGCAAAGGCATAGCCTCGATTCAGCTCGAGATGTGAATTGTTTCATCTCCAAATACGTATCGCCCGGCTTCTTTTCATATCGCAACCTTGGACGGCCAGCTATTGTCCCCTTGCAGGACTGATTATGATCACCGCAGTCCGAAGACACTGCGTGTATGCGCTTCTGGAAACCAAGCCATTGATCGATGCCATCCCTTTGACAGGGGCACAGGTCTTCGAGCACGAAAACAAGCCAGCGAATGGTCAACGCACACTTGGCTAGAGCTGGCCAAGGCTCTGAGACAGCCTCATCGAGTACAGCTCTTCCTCCATCATATTGACACGGGAAAGGCGGCTCGAGTGTTCTCTTACTGACTTCTTGTCAGGAGGAACAGGAGAGGAGGTTGGCACTAAACTACCGACAATCTATAAGGAGCGAAGTCTTATTAGGTGTAGTGCGCTGAATAACCAGGCACTTTAAGCCTGTTTGGGTAAGATACAGCTTTCACCAAGTGTACTATAAGAGCAGTGGTATCGACTATGAACAAGCATACGGAGTACATGTCACGGAATGAACACCTGTTGGCATCATGCATCTTCATGGCCAACTTCCAAGAGATCAGCGGTCCTATATGCCACGCTCTTATGGTCTGGGTTCAGTCCTTTTGATATCTTGTGACGCCTGATCCTTTTTCCCCCTTCGCGTACGGATATTTCGAGTTGCAATCGCAGCACACCAAGCAAGTTGAGCACAGCCTACTGTTGGATTCTGTAGACCTTCTCTGCACCTTACAAAGGATCTGATGGAGCGTCCTCGACCTTGAAGCTCTAAGAGGAGCGGTATCCACGAGTCAAGTTGTGACAACGCTTGTGCTGTTCTGCCATCGTCTATCTGTAGATCTCTTGCCAAGGGTTGATTGCGGAGTGCAGGCTCAGGAACGATAGACACCAAACAGGGTGCAAAACCATAGCCCACAGCTTCAAAAAGAAGCCGCTTTCTATCTCTGATCGGCTCGGATTGACTGATTGGTCACACTCGCGCCTGTCCATCGCTCTGGGCATTCTCAGCTTCAGTCTGCAGGTCGCCCGCCAGGGCTCAAGGATAGGTTGCCGAGAAATACATATCTCATCAACCGGCAATATATACTGGACGGCAACCCAATCTTGCGTCTGTTCAGCAGCTCGCGCCAATTGATTGCTGGTTCTCCATATCACAAGATGGACATTGACTACGATTTCACTGCTCCAGCCTTGCAACAGGTGACGGATTGTAACCGTCAACAACCGTCAATACAACCACATCTAGGCTATCAAGGGCAATATATTGGCCATCCATTTCCTCAATCACATGTAGCCGAATGCCCCCGGGGATTAGCCCAGAATCAGGGTCCCCTTCAGCCTCATCAAAATGCGCTTGGTATGGCAGGCCATGTCGTCAACAATGAGTATGAAGCAAATGCTCCTGCAGTATGTCCGACTGCAAATGAAAGCGATATCTTAAGCAGCATGTCCTAACATCAGTCGGCAGAACCAGTTCGATATCGCGTACGCTGGCTTTGACAAGGGCTATGGCTTCGCATCATCTGGAGTGCTTTTGACACCACAGGAATCTGAGAGTGCCTCGTCGCCATTGAATTACAGTGATGTTCCGATGCGATCACAGGGAGCCATAAACCACCAGGGTCTTCCAGTACAGGCAAATAATGCTGAGGATGGAACCTTCAATGCACCACCTCAGAGCCAGCAGAATCAGTTGCGGCACGCAGCTTCGAGCGTCTCCATGGGAGACAACAGCTCTCAACGAAGAGCTGCCGGAGCTGCCGATGACGCAGGAAACTCAAGCGAGCCGATGGAGAAGAGGGGTTCGTCAGGGTTCTATATTCCTTCTTTCCCTTCCCTCGGCCCTTACCACCGCCCACGCCCAGTGTGGCTCCGACCTTGCGACATCTATCCAAGAACAACCAGACTGGATCGCCCTTCTTCACTTTGACGCTTCCCGCAGGGATATTTGTACCGTCGTAGAAGATGAATGGGATTGATATCTCGGTATTCTTCACTCGTTCCTGCAAGGCCAGGAACTCTTTGCGTAGTGCATCGCGCGCACGGGCTTCAGCAGTCAATGCTGATTTGGTGAGGATTTTTGGAGGAGGCAATGAGACGTTCGGGTTCGCCCGTATACGTCGCGGTATGGGGGATGGTCCCGTTGATGTTGGAGTGTCCTTCTTGTCGTCTTCAGTAGCCGGTGTAGATGCCTTGGATACTTTGGCAGTGTCCTCCTCGTTTTCCTCGTCGCCATCATTGAAGTACAGCTTCGCTCTAGGCTCTGGTCGCTTCTTCTTCTTCTTTGGCGGTTTTGCTTGTGATTGCGCATCGCTTGATTACCGTCAGCATAGGATCGCTGGCATCAGTTGGTGATGGAATGGGGACCAGCATACCTCTCTCCCTCAGTCCCCGTCCCCGGTGTCCCACTTTTCCCTAACCCCAGACTCTTATCATGCGCCTCCTTTTCCTTCAGCTCTAGGGCTTCAGCTCGTCGTTTGCGAAAGTCAGAGAGATGGACCAGGCCGACTGTTTGCGACTTGAGTAAATCTTCAGCCGTTGCAGCTTGGCTCGTGAAGCGGGAGGCGGGTGTTGAGGCGCCGCTGTCTCTGTTTGGAAGAGACATGATGAAGACGCGCGAGAATCTCTTGTAGGATAGTTTTGTTGCAGGGTTGATGTCTGTTGATTGACATCGCGGACCTTTTTTGATATTGACAGGATGATTGCCGGGAATGAGAATTCTGAACGATTATTATGCTTATTACTGTCTAAAAAAAGGTCGAAGGCAAGGTGGCCGAGTGGTTAAGGCGCGGCACTCGAATTTCCTCATTCGTGGTATGCCGTTCATTCGTGAGCGTAGGTTCAAATCCTGCCCTTGTCGACATTTCTTTTTTGCACTTTTTTCATCTCTCATCACCCAAGATGATGACCATCAAGGAGGAAAGGATGCTCACAATAAACCTCAGCTCTTGTGCGCATGTCACCAATTTCTATGAAAGTTCGTCTGTATCGCAATGGTTGCCTGTTTGTGGCCCGACGTGATCGCCGTTGAACGTGCTAGCGCCTATCTACACGATGCTGCCTTGCAGCAATGGCATCGCCTGCACAGTCATGGCGCTGTCAACCATCTAAAGCAGAGAAGGAAATTCATGAGCTACATGGAGCCGACGTGATTGCATCTCCAGCAATACCCTGGAAAAAGCAGAAAAGCAGAGAAGCAGCAGCAACAGCAGCGCGCAACCCTAACGCGTTCGGCAATGCTCTTTACCCAGGGGAAGAACACGCACATCCAAGCCGTCCCGCAGTGCAATTGGAGACTGCTACCAATAGGCTTACTCTCGGCACCATCTTCTTGGATCGGCTTGAGATCCGTCGTCGAGTCTCTGGGGGATGCCGCAGCGATAGGGCCGCTACTGGGACCTGCATGCGACCCCACGCGAGATTAGGGACTGCGGAATTCCCGCGTGCCCATGGGGTCGTAAATCCGGCGAACGCGGTCCTCTCCATGCCGATAAGGATGAGGGGAAGCATTGGGATTCTTCGTACCACCGCTACATGTGTGCAGCAAATGGCAGATACGAAGGCAGCGGGACTTCTGCCCGCTGCGTCCGGGAAAGATGAATTGGAGGGAGAGGGGTGGTGCGCCTCTGATAAAGGCGTAGGGTTCTCCCTTCGCTGGCTGACTTGACGATTGGTATTCTTCTTCTTCTCCATCAATCAAGAAGTTCAGGGACTGCCCAATATATTCGACCAAACCATCAATTCCCATTCGATATGGGTGACTACAGAGACGAATCCGCAAAGTCGCAGAAGCGCCGTGACGACAAGATCGCTGCCTTCTGGCAGATCCCCGATATCAATGACGACGAACTCCCCAATGATTTGACGGAGTATGCTCGCACATCTGGTTTGCTCAGCGAGGAGGAAGTGAAGATTGTCTATACCGATGCCGTCACGCTCGTTGCTCAGCTCAAGGCTAAGGAGTTGACCTCCGTTGCCGTCACCAAGGCATTCTGCAAGGCCGCTGTCATTGCCCAGAAGCTGGTATGCTTCCCCCAAACTTCACCTGAGAGAACTGCCGGAGCACCGTCTGATCAATTGAGTACAGACAAACTGCGTCACGGAAGTCATGTTCGAAGATGGTCTCAAACGTGCCCAAGAACTCGACGACTACTACGCCAGCACCGGCAAGACCTCCGGACCCCTGCACGGCCTCCCCATCAGTATCAAGGACTGCTTTTCCTTTGCCCCTTACCCCTCTTCCATAGGTGTCGCCAACTTTGCCAACAAGGGAATGCCCAAGGACTCCGTTATTGTCGAGCAACTCAAGTCCCTCGGTGCCGTCCTCTACGTCAAGACGAACGTCCCGACCATGATGCTGCTCACCGAGACAAACAACAACATCTGGGGCGAGACTCGCAATCCGCGCCATAAGAAGTTAACGCCCGGCGGTTCGTCAGGTGGTGAAGCTGCGATCCGAAACTAGTGCCTATCCCATGGAGAAAGGATGTCATTCAGCCCAAGGGCCGGAAATTGAGGTTCGGTATCATCAAGAACAACGACAAGACCGTGACATGCCACCCTCCTGTCGAGAGAGCATTGAAGGAAGTGCGCGAGAAGATCGAGAAGGCCGGCCATGACATCGTCGAATGGTAAAACCGTTCTCTTACCCGAATATAATTTAACAACGAACCATAGCTAACGGTCATTCCAGGGACTCACCATGTGGGGATGACATCAACAAGCTGCTCATGACCTCCTTCAGACGCCTTGCCGGCGACTACGCCGCCACTGTTCTCGGCGCATACAACGAACCCCCCGTCGGTGCGCTGGTCAAGAAATTCGTCCCCGGTGCTCAGGCCACGAATGTCGGCATCGACGCCGCTAAGCTCCGTGAAATCATCATCACGCGAAATACTATCCAGAAGGATTTCCTCGATAAGTGGATGGCTACTAAGACCGAGACCGATGGACCTATCGACGGTCTCATCTACCCCGTCAACCCCTATGCTGCTCCTCCCTTGAACTGGACCAGGAAGAGAGAGTACCTGGGCTACACCACCGTCTACAATGTCCTTGGTAAGATTGCCCCTGACATGCTCTCCCCTGAACCTGGTTGAGATGTGCGTACTGACTTTGGATGCTCAGATTACTCTTGCTGCGTCTTCCCCGTCACAACTGTCGACAAGGCCGTTGATGCCAAGAGAGGCTCCGACTGGACTCCTATCAGCGATTACGACAAGGAGATACAGGACGACTATGACCCTGAATTCTACCATGGTGCCCCTGTGTCGTTGCAGATGGTCACGCGCAGATTCGAGGAGGAGAAGGCGATTGAATTGGTTGATGTGGTCTCCAAGCTGCTCTGAACTATGACAGATACTCACTGAATCATCGTTGATTCATAATTGGACGTGTGACTAATTACTTCATCTTACGATACAGTGCAACCGGCGAAGTCCCCCCTGTACCACTACCTCATGTATGAAAGTCAGGGGGCGGCGAAGACTTCGCCGGCTGCACTGTACAATCAATCTCAGCTCATCGCGGGCTCCTCTGTATACTTTCTTCTTGCCGTACGCTGAACACTGGTCTCCATCAGATTACGAGAGCGGTGGCGAATGGAGGTGGCTTGATTTTGAACCTTCTTGAGAAGTGGCACGTCCTCCTTCGTATTTATAAGACCGGATGCGCCGTTGACTATTCCTTCTTCAAGCACTCTCATGAACTTCACCGAGAAACCGTTTCGCACGTCATTACGATGGAGGTAATACGCTTGTCAAAGCTCTCGCCCGAGCAATCCGCTCGTGATGATTTCTTCAAGAAAGGGGGATCGCGCATTTTTAGCTTTACCTCTGACGAATCGTTGGAAACAACACTGGAGGATGAGTTGCAGAGGGCAACGGGCATGGGACTCCGTGCTAAGTTCTTCAATGTGCCTGAAAGTGTCATTCAACGCTTGCTTGAAATTGATGACCGCCGACTCAAATTCTTCGATATCAACCATCAACTCCTCACCTTAGACACGCTCTTCAGACCACATGAAGCCACGGTGGAGATGGGGAAGCGATGGGTTGAGACGGTGCTAGCGAAGGACGGCATGACTAATGCAATGGTGCCCTACGGGTCGGCACAGGCTCCCTCAGGAGTCAGGGGCAAGAAGTACAAGACAGGACGAATGCCCGATGGCTGTTATTGCCTGAAGCCTAGCTTCCTAAAGGGTACGGCGTGGAGGCAGTGGCCGCAGATTGTCCTGGAGGTGGGAGCCTCCGAAACGGAGGAGGACCTGCTGGCGGATGTCCGCCACTGGTTCCAAGAAGGAGGCACGTCCGTAAGAATCGTCGTCACCATGAGCATGACGGCGGACATCTTCCGGCTGTGTGTCTACACAGTCGGCGACGGCAAGAGCTTCATCCACAAAAGGGGTGAGGTTGTCGCGTACCGCGACAACTCAGACAGTGACTTTGTGGTGCGGAGGGGCAAGGACATCAATGTCCCATTCGCTCTGCTCTTTTTTAGAGAGCCAACCGGGGAGGAGAAGGACCTCAACTTCACCATGGAGGACTTCCATAGGCTTCAGGACATGCTGAGGTCGGATCTACTGGAATTTGAAGCGCCCGAAGAGCCGCGAGAGGAGGAGCTGTCCCCGCCCCCGTCACCGTCGCTGTGGCAGGGTACGGTGCTGCGGTTAGGGGATCTGCCCACCGGGAAGGAGGGCCTTAAGCGCAAGCGAGCTATGTCTATGTAGTTCTGGGGAAGGGAACTCTCTTATTACAGAACCAAAGCATAGTTCATCTAGTTCTGGGACTTGCTACGGAGCACCCCTGTCCATGCCCAACCTTTAACTTTATCCTGGCTTGGCATCATCCTCCGCACCGCCGACGACACTCAGGGACACTGCCCGCTGTGACATCACAATCTTGATCACCACCATTCTCGCCACCACTTCTGCGGCGCCATACATACATGTCCTACAGGCAACACTGAACATCTCTTTTGGCCATGCCTCCCCGTAAAACCCAGACACGCAGCCGTACAGGCCCATTAAATCCTCCTTCCGCATCATCATCATCCATCCGCGCAATCTCCAAAGTGACAAAACCGACACGCAGTGCATCAGAGCGCGCAGTCAAATCAAAGCAACTTATAGCAGACTCTTTGGGGTCGCCTGGTGACTCTCAAATTGAGATCCAAATACCCTCCACACCACCTTCTGCTTCTGCATCATCTAAAGAGCCGAAAACACCACTGACATCACGAACGAAACGATCAAACGGAAATCATGTCTCTCAGAACAAAGCAAAAGGAAATACACCTTTAACACCAAAATCGCCTGCTGTGACACCAGATCTTGCGCCGTCAACGCAGGCTACGAATGCGATTAATGCACAGGCTAAAGAGGAGTCGAAGATCAAATATGATACAGATGAAGACGCGTTGCGGATGCCGGAGGCACAAATAAGGAAATATTGGAAGGGGATTGAAGAGCGCAGGATTACACCACAGAGTAAGCCAGAACCCCCTTCACAACAAAGTGGCCTGGTTTGAAGCAAGAATGAGGCGCTGAACTAATATTGCAATGGACAGTTCACCAAGAAGGAGTCTCGTTGTATGAGAAAATCTTAAGGCATTTCGATCTCACGTCAAAATATGGGGTATGTTTGCTCTCAGTCTCCTAAATGAGTGTCTGTCAAGTGCTAATGTTTTCAGCCATGCATTGGTATCGCACGAATACGCCGTTGGAGAAGAGCACAGAGGTTCAACTTAGACCCACCGATGGAAGTCCTTGCAGTGTTACTGAAGCTGGAAGAGAGAGGCGAGCCGCGACAGATGGCGTATATCGATGCATTGCTATCATGAGGTGGAAGGAAAATCAATATT